TGTAGAGAAACTGCATCACATACTAAATGGCTCTTTACGGTCAAAGATATCAAAAAACTCAACAGCTGAAAATTCAGGCTACACTAATGTAAATTAGAAATAAGACCTCCTTAAGGAGACACAATCAACCACTGGAAATATTAAAGGTAACTTCCAAGAATAGCTGCAAATACTTCACATCCTGATGTCAGCACATTAGACTTCATTTAATACAGAACATACACTTAGTCAAGCATCTCTGAAAGACAGACTTTCATCAAATGTATGTTATTGGTCTCAGATAACAAACTGAAAATAACTAATACATGCATCAGATTAGATTGTCAAAAGATCCCTTACGTTAAAGTCTGATGCTTCAGTTTTGTCTGAATCCAAAAAAATAGACTGAACTCTAAGTACAGATGTTTTTCAACTACTCACAGCCCAGTACAAAACAGAAGGGAAATACTTCCCTTGCTAAATCATCAGTAAATATTTTCACACCTATAAGCTCCTGTAAGATGAACTGTTTGGGTACTGGTCCTTCCACCAGTGAAATCAGATGAGACAGGCAGACACAGATTTGGTTTTAATTTAAAAATAAGCAGTCATCAACAACAAAAGAACACTTTTGTGAGCAAGACCTCTTAGCACTTGAATTTCCATTGCAAGAATTTCCTTAGCACTGATCCAACAGAACGCCAAACCTCAACTGTGCATTTAAGAACTTGTTTGAACTAGGACTACATCCCTCAAAGATTCAAGCCAAAACTGTTACATCCTTGACTTTTTTTTTTTTTTCAAGTTTCTCTGTGCTTATTTTGCTGAATGCTCCAATATTTGAACATTGACACACAAGTATATTCTTGAGATTAGCCAAACTGGGCAAAAATTAACTTTAAGACAGTTGTACTGCAGATTCATTTTTGTCTTTTCATCTGCCACATAATACAGTAAAGCTTTGGTCTATATACTCTCGGTTTCTAGCTCTTTTCTTTCTATGCAGGACAAGGTAAGTATCACACACTTGGGACACTATGAGGCTAGGGAAATATGAGGAGGAAAAGAAAAAGAAGCGGGAACTTTAAAACAACTGACAAGAGTAAGAACCTAAGACTTCTACACATTTGTCTTAGAGTCCTGACACAATTAAGTTTCCCTCTTAGCAGGAGCAAACTGAATTGCCCACCCACTACCCGTGACAACTAACAAGAGAAAACCTTCCCATCTGTTTTGATGGATATAGCACAGCCAAGAAAAATGACCAGCACAAAAATCACTCTGTTTTGCTCCATGAGCACTCAAGATGATCGCTCGGTCAGAAAAAGTGTCCTGAGACCTGAGCAGGCTACACTTACTTGTCCCACACCACATCCTACAGGCCCTGTGTGCTCAGGGCATATTTATATCAGGGTATTTTATCAACAACATCCTCTCAAGGTACACTTACTTTCACTAATATCTCAGAGGATTCCAATAACCAGACTATACTGCAATGGGAAATTCTTGCAGTACTTCTATGAAGGGGCAATTGGGGATGGGCAGGGTGATGCATTCACTACAAAAATTTTTTTCTGCTGAAAGAAAAGGTGCATTTGCTAGGATGTATTTTTTGTGGGTTTGGGCACATGAGGGAGATAAGAAGAAGAGGGAGCTAAAACAGCTTATAGAAAACATCGGGGAAAAGGCAATCTGATTTCTCCTGAGTCACACTTTGATTTTTGAAATGAAAACTGCATTTCAAAATTTTTACCTTAAATGGTAAAAATTAAGTAGCCTGAAGGTAAAATGTTTCATATTGGGTTGATTTAGATTTTTTAAATTTTATTTCAACTTTCAGCATTTAGTCAAGTACATTTAAAAATCCCCCAAACCAAGCCCTTATACACATGTTCCAGGAGTGCCCTTTGATACCAGAGCTTCCCTCAGAGAACGGTGCAAGTCTTACATTAAGTTCTACAATTCCCTTTGCTCTAACGTACAAGGAGAAAATACATAGCTGGATAATGCACACACATGTACAAATGCAGCCTTCTTAACAACAGCTGCATTACCTCTTTGTACCACTTAGAGTGTCTTGTTCTGCATTTTCCATCACAATATTTTGGGGGCCAGACCCAAGTTTTTGTTCCATGGTTATATTGTACCTAAGACATTGGTTAAGGTCCCCAATCACAGCTCCTGGACACTATGGCAATACAAACAGTAAGCAAAACTAACTGGCAGAGGCACCTAAAAGCTCTTATGCCCATAGCAGTCATGCCAGTCTGGCAGAGAAACACTAGGCGTGAAAATTATATACCTGTATTTAATTTCAGTTATGCACAGCATAAAAATGGACTTTGAAGGAAGAAAAAAAAAAAAAAAACAAAAAAAAAAAACACACAAAACTGTTTGTTGCTTGCTGAACAGTCCATCTCATTTATGCAAGGGCTGCAAGCAGTACGCATGTACAAATAGAAAGGACATGACATCATCCAGTCACTACACCATAGGAAAGACTGCTCTTCATAGTGATACATGCTTGTGAATACAGTCACATTTTCACACTGAAGACTTACAAAATCGACATATGCAAAGGAAGAAAAATACGTGATACTATTTTTATTTCAGCTTCTCCTCTGAAAGCAAGTTAATCAAGTTTAAACATTGTACAGTTTATGCTCTAAAGCATTCTGAAATGTATTAAGGACAACCAATAGCCTCTACCTATAATCAAAAAACACTAAACATAAAAACATAAATTGACATAACTGCTTGCCTCCCTCTTAAAAGAGCCTTTTTTTTTTTTTTTCTTTCAGATTAAGCTCAAGGTACAAGAAGTAAAAATAACTTCTATCATACTGCTGCCTACAGAAAGTAACTGGAGTGAATATACCTACTATAAAAATTAAATAAAAAGACATTATTTTTCCCCCACAGTCAATGCACAGTTTAAATTGGGCACAGAAACAATTACTTGCTGGATATATATTTCCATTTATAAAGATCTTTTCTTAAATTTACAAGGGTCAAGTGCAAGCACTGCAGGAGATTCCTATGTGAACTTTATCTGCAATTTGATCCTTGCATGGCATGCTGTCTAAGCATTACACTGTACTATGATTTAATACTGGACATAGACTTCAGCAGTTACAAATGATGGACTATTTAAAGGCATATGACTCTGACCCAGAGAGGTACGAAGAACATTCAAAACAGCACTTTATTTTGGTTTTAGGAGGGGTGGGGTTGATTTGGGGTAGGGCCTGAAAAAAAAACTAATTTGAAAAACAGGTGTCTTATCATGACAGGATTAAAAAAAATGGCCATTGACAATTTAAAAATAAATCAACTGTATACATCCGATAAACAGTGATGCTATTTTAAGCCTGAGACTATGAAAAGCGTATAGGCAACTCTCCGTTTTTCCCCCAGGTTTTCACAGCTCTGGAAGGAAAAAAAAAAATAAATAAAAATCACCAAACCTTCATGTTTCATTATCATGCTAACACTTGCCAGCCTTCTAAAGCATGCTATTTAATGATAGTAGTTGAGGAAACAGTGTGAAGGCTCAGTGAAAGTCAGTGAAAACAGCCTCATATCATGTGTTTCATTTCAGGCTGGTAGTTGGGTTTTGTCTCTCCTTTTCTTTTTAAATAAACATCAGCCGTTATGCAATCCTCTGTAAAATCTCCCCCCCTAAACCTGCAAAACATGAACAGGGAAACCTGTAGACCCTGCAAAACATGAAGACGGAAATTGCTTGTCAGCAGCATCTACTGCAAGATTCAAAGCTGTCACCATTTAAGATACACGATTTCCACGTGTGCATTCAGCACCTTACAGCGCACACCCAAATTCCCCGTGGAAGAATTTCACGCAGGTATAAGAGCTTTTACCCGGGATTGAAGAAATACTTGCGACGGCTGCTGGTTTGGGGGTGGGTGGGGGTGTATTTGTTTTCAAGCTAGCTACTCGGAGTCTCAGATTAATCCCCAGGGGTTTGCCTCGTCTTGTTTTTTCATCCTAGAGGGCTTTATACGCGAGGGTGTTACACTGCAGTCCCTAAACGGTCTCCCACACCTGATGCGGGTTTTCACGGAGGACGCCACACAGGGAGCGGTTCTCAGAAACAAAGCTCCTTCAGCTAACACTTGGGCGTTTAAAAAGAAAAGAAAAGAAAAAAAAAAAAAAAAAAAAAGAGAGGCAAGGCAAACTGTCTTTACCCATCCACCTCCATGAAAGGGGGACCTGCTCGCTCTGCGCGACACCACGAAGCAGCAGCCGCCGCCGCCGCCTCCCGCGCGTGTGCGCAAGGTGGATCGATCCTTCCCGCAGCTCCTCCGGGAGCCGGAGCCGGGCCTGCCCGCCGCCCCCCAGCATCGCCCGCCCCCCGGCCTGCTGCCGCAGTGCCGCCAGCAGCCGGGGAACACCCCACTTTCCCCCCACCCCCCCCCCCCAAAAAAAAAAAAAAAAGCCAAAACCAACCGTCTCCCCTCACAGATTGCGGCCGCGCGTCTCCTCCCTGAGTGCGGCGGGAGGGGGGACGCGGCTGCCGGGGCCCAGCCCCGACGGGCAGGCGAAGGAGAGGCAGAGCTCGACACCGAGCCCCCCCCCCCCCGCCTCCCCACCCCGGGGACTGCGTGGGGCAGCAGGAGGGAAACGGGGGAGACAGCGAGGGGGTTAATCCTGCGGAGGAAAGCCGCCGCCTCGCCCGCAGCCCCCCGCGGGCGTTACATAACGGCGGCGCAGGGCAACGCGCCCCTTTGGCGGGGGAAACGGAGGGGGGCGGGGGGGTGACACCCCACCGGCGGTACCGCGGGCAGCTCCGCCAGCGACGCCCCCCCGCCCTTCGCGTCTTCGCTATCCGCACAGAAATCAATTAGCCGGCGTGCTAATGAAGAAGGGGGAAGAGGGCAAGAAACACCCACACCTCCACTTCCCCCTTACCCCACAAAAAAAAAAAAAAAAAAAAAAAAAAAAAAAAAAAAAAAGGGGGGGGGGGGGGAGGCGACGCTCGCCTACGGGTGCCCACTCACCGCCGACTCTCTCCCTCAGCCCTCCCTGCCGCTCGCCCGCGCTCCGGCGCTCTCAGCAGCCCGTGTCAAGCCGGCGCGGCGGCTCCGGCAGGCCCCGCCCCCGCTGCCCGGCTATTGGCGAGCGGCCCGCGCCGCTCGCCCCCCCATAGGCCGGGCGGGCTGTCCGGCGGGCGGCCGCTCCCGCCCCCACCCCCCCCCCGCCGCCACCCGCGGAGCCTGAGGTAATGAATTAGCGCTGGGGGGGGAGCGGGGTGGGGGAAGCGGTTGGTTTCGCTGCCTTAAATGGCTGGTTATGGCTGTCGGCGGCTCTGCCCGCTCCTCGCCGCCCGGTCGCAGGTGGGCAGGGGCAGGTGGGGGACAGGCCAGGCCGGGACTCCCCTCGCCGGGAGCTGGGGGCCATTCCCACCCCCCCCCCCCCGGGTCTGGCTGTCGGGGGGGGTCGAGGGCAGAACCAGCAGCTTCCGCCATCTCGGGAATCCCGTTCCCTCATCCCCACAGAGCCTGTCGGTCTCTGGCAGGTGAGGGTTGCGGCTCAGCTACGCTTTCAGCTGTGGTTGTCGATGTAAAGTGAAGAAAAATCAAGTGAATGACTGGGCTGCATAGGGCAGAAGGTGCCCCCTAAAACTTCCCTCTTGCCTAGGAGCAGGCCCGGGGTTGGCATGGCGGAGGGGTGCAGCCCGCTACCCTGACCCCATCCAAAACGGCAGAGACGGTGCAGGAGCCAGCAGAGGTGGAATGAACTGTTGGGCCTCCTCATTCATTAATTTATAACAAGGCTCCAGTGACCGGGCGGAGCTTGGTGGGCCATAACTTGATAGCTGCTGTGCTGGAACCAAGTTAAAGCAATCTACCTGCAGAGGTGAGGGAGAAGAGCAAAAAGATCCAGTTAATGTGCAACAGAGTCTCAATTTTTCGAATGCAGGATAGATACACAGCTAGCTTTTAAAAATTATCAGATACCCATACTTCCTTTTAGATGTATAGTAATATATAAACTATTATAAAACCAGTTTATAAACTCTTACTTCAGTTTCTTAAGGCAATTATTGAAATGACCCAGAATGTCATAAATGCTTTACAGCCCCTTCCTATTAGGGTTGAGTTTGGCTGCCCTACCGATGGAGGGTTTTGTGGTAGCGTATGGCAAATGCACATGTGATCTCTCATGAGAGGACAAACCAAAATCATGTTGTATTTTTTTTTCGAAGTTTCCTCCTTTACCATGCCAACACAGAAAACCTACCCTTTATGAAGTCTGAGCTGGCTTGAGGCTCAAGAGGAGTCCCTACCATACAGCTGAGAAACAGGTTAAGACATGTGCAGCTTTAAATCAGAGCCTAGCTTTGAAGGCAAAAATGAATGCAATACAGATTAACATGAAACAAGGTGTAGTAAATAGCCCAGTGGAGACTCTTCTCCTAATGTTTAATATGGGGCTGGTCCTATACTATTTTCAATTATTTCTCCCATTCCACACAGTTAATGTAATTTTCTGTTTCTCTAATATAATTTTACATCACAAACCATGCCATCCATCTTAGAAAACATGCAGAATCAGAATGACCCTAACTTGATTGTGTGATAGAACTCAGACAAATTTTACTATTTGTGGTTCAGTTGGAAAAACCAAAAAACAACGAAGACACAAACTTCATATAATCATAGAATGGTTTGGGTAGGAAAAAGACTTTAAAGGCCATCTAGTCCAAACCCCCTGCAATGAGCTGGGACATATTCAGGTAGATCAGGTTGCTCAAAGCCTCATCCATCTGGCTCAAGAGTTGTGGATAAAGAGGTTGCCAGTGAAGACTGACAGCAGGATGAGAGCCTGTGAGCACAATGCCATTGTAGCTGGAGTAAAAAGGCTTCAACAGTAGGCCCCCCTTGATCGGGAGGCCTGTAGTAGACACCAACCAGAAGGTTCCCTTTGTTGCTTCGGTCTCTTAATTCTTACCCATAAACTTTCAGCCTGCTCTCAGCTACTCTTGCAAGCCCAGCTCTTCGCACTCTACCCATTTCTTGATGTAGATGGCAGCCCCCTCCGCCCCTTCTTCCTCACCAGTCCCATCTGAACAGCCTGTAGCCATCAATAGCCACACTGCATCCATGGTGCTCATCCCACCAAGTTTCAGTAACAGCAACTAGATCATAGCTTTCCAGCAGCACGGTGGCTTCCAACTCTTCCTCTTGGTTGCCCATGCTGCATGCATTGGTGTAGAGGCACTTAACTGGGCTGTCAGCCTTGTCACCTCTTTAGGGGAACACACAAACACACCTTAATTCCTTTGAGGTATTTCACTAGTTTTTCCCTGTTGGTTCCTATTACCTCAGGGGCCCTTGACTTATTTCCATAAGACTTCAGCTGTGCTCCAGTGTACCCAGCACATCTCACAGAAACAGGCCGTGGGTTCTCACTAGCACCCTGTCCTTCAAATCTTGGTGTGTCATCCCATGGATTGTCATGCACAAGCTTGAAGTTATCCTCTTCCCCCTTCAAGTCTAGTTTAAAGCTCTGTCAGTGAGCCCTGCTAGCTCATGAGCAAAGACCCTCTTCCCCCTGTGAGAAAGGTTAATCTCACCCAACACCAGCCAGCCTGGTATCATGTAGACCATGGCATTATTGAAAAAGCCAGAATTCTCTCAATGACACCAGTCATGAAGCCATGTGTTAATAGACTGGGTCCATCTACTTTCTTCCAGTTTCGCTGTTCGCAATTAGAAGAATGGAGAAGAAAATTCCCTGTGCTCCAGATACCCTTACCAATCATCCCAAGGCCCTGAAGTCTCTTTTGATTGCCCACGGACTATGTGTTGCACCTTCATCGCCACCCACATGGAAGAGCAATCATGGTAATAGCCCAAGGGCTGTACTAAGCCAGGAAGCTTCCTAGTGATGTCCTTAACGCAGGCCCCAGGGAGGCAGCAGGCATCCCTAAGAGGGCCTGAGGCATACTGGACCCTCTGTTCCCCCCAGGGATGGAGTAACCTACAACGACAGCCCACCTTTTCTTCCTCGTGGTGGTGGTCGTGATGCAGGGGGTGGGCATTTCTGACCTTGGCAACACCTCTGATGTAGATGGATCGTCAGCCACATCATCAGTTGACTGACCTTCCAAATCCAGAGCATCATACCTGTTGTACAGAGGTACCTGGGGAGGCGAGGCAGGCAAGGGGCAGGTTTGTGTAGACTTGCCTCCGTTCCCTCCTCTCCTTAAGTTACTGCCTTCTGCTTGGTGAGGGGAAGATACAGGATCCCCTTGATGGCTTTTTTTTTTTTTTTTTTTTTTAATGGTGGATGTTCCTGTCTCTTTCTCAGGGAGGGCAGAACATGGTACCAAACTTGTTAGAGTTTGTCAGATCCCGTACTTTGATAGAAGCATGGCTGCTGCAGCTCCATGCCTCCATCTCCAATCAGTAGTGAGACTAAACGTGTATTCCCAGTATGCGCATGCATATGCATTTCTGCAACACATACATACATATACACACATGGACAGCTACACAGATCAGAACCACTCAGCACCAATGGCCTCATCCTGTTCCCCTTTGGCTGATCAGGATGAAGGTCCATTAGAAGGAAATATATACATAGCGTAGATTCCTTCAGGAGCTGAACTTCCTCAGTCTATCCCTGGTTCCCTGGCCTCCCCCACTGCTGTACCCTAGATGTACGAGCCCACAAGGCCTGTAACCCCACTTTAATTGCTGGTACAGACCTCCTCACTCACAAACACATACAATGTGGATCTCTCAGTAGCTAGGCTTAGACACAAAGTCCCTTCAGTATCTGGCTGCGGATCCCAGGTCTCCCTGGTTGCTGACACCTGGTCACTCTAGTCCCCAGACCCCACAGTCCCACACAAGCTGCTGGTACAGATTTCCTCACACGTAGCAGCACACAAACATGCACACTGTGGGTCCCTCCAGTAACTGGGCACACACCACCCAATAGCTTAGGCATTCAGTCCACCCAGCCTGGATCCTTGTTCTCCCCGGTTGCCTCCCACACAGAAACACACACACATGCAGTCTCTCAGCTGAACTTCAGATCTTACAGCCTCTGTCAGTTGGCATAGACCGCCTGGTCCTTTTGTAAGCAAGCTTCTCCTATTGCTTTATTCCCAGAGACACACCTTGTTCCCAAGCCTCTTAACCTCATTTCCACCTAGTCTGACTTGATATTCGTACTCTCTTTTGGTCCAATTGCTCACACCACAGACGTGTGGCCCCCAACCCACACTGCAGTTGTTGGCACCTGGTTTTATTCACTCCAGTCCCTCCAGTTGATGACACTGGTGATATTCAGGCCCTATAATCCATGGTCTGACTCCAGCTGCTGACACTTAGACCTCCATATGATCACATCCACACAGAACAGAGCCCCCTCTTCCAGGAAAATAGTTAGAACAGGAATTTAGGAAGACAGCAGGTGATGACCAAGTGCAGGACATGGCCAGGCAAGTATACTGACCAGCTACCTCTTTACACCTGAGTGACACCTTTTGTCCTCTTGGCCATCTATTTACCCACACTTGTTTCTATTCTATTCTATTCTATTCTATTCTATTCTATTCTATTCTATTCTATTCTATTCTATTCTATTCTATTCTATTCTATTCTATTCTATTCTATTCTATTCTATTCTATTCTATTCTATTCTATTCTATTCTATTCTATTCTATTCTATTCTATTCTATTCTATTCTATTCTATTCTATTCTATTCTCCATTCCATAATGTGTCCTAAACCCCCTAGGCAGTAGCCCCCCACTTCAGTCCTTAAATTGCTCTGGAGAACCTTTCCAAACTCATTGGGTGGGTTTCAGACCTGAATGATGGGCACCAGTTCTCTTTTGTGACAGTCCTGAGGGGCACTGGGGCAGGGGATCTGTTTCTCTGAGTTCTCCATAAGGATGTAGGTTGCTTGCCATTGTTGCTCTGTGCTACATTTAGTGTGTGAAGATGAGCTTTTTATCAAATAACCTAACAACACTTAATTTCTGGTCACACTTTGAAGTCATCCTGCCCTCAAATAGAGAGAAATTTAGAGGTTTAATTTAGCAATTCAATTTAACTAAATTTATGAATTT